CAAAAAAATATCGTGGACGGATAGTGTCCAATGAAAGAGTATTGCAGATGGTGAATAAGAAATTAGAGGTCTTGAGCACTAAAACGCAAACTCCACTACTTTGGTCATATAATACGCAATGATAAATACGACCTATTCCGACTAATTATGCAAGGGAAGATAAAGGGAAAGCGACCTGGAAGAAGGCGTACTTTGTGGCTTAAGAATCTCTGGACATGGTTCAACCTAAGCACAAGATCCTTATTCCGTGCAATGTGTAAAGTACAGATAGCCGTAATGATAGCCGACTTCCGGTAGGAGATGGCGCCTTAAGAAGAAGAAGGGACTTCTCAACTTGTGTCTCAGGATAACGGGCGCAGTGGCAGTGCGCCTCAGATCTTTGTGATTTAAAGAGCTGAGTGGCACTGCAACTGTTATGGACAGGCGCGTAGCTTATTATCAAGCGCACAACTTATTCGTCTGGTCACTAAGTGCTCTCTTAACGTAACAAAACAAACCCAAAGACATTTTAAAAGTTCCTGTCGCCGACATGACTGCATTGTTAAACCAAGATTAAATTATTGCATTCTCAACGACTTTCCACTTCCGTACAAAATGATAAAAGGTATTACCTGTATTACCAGTACCTTGTAATTCTTTGTCAACATTTTAACAACTTTAGATGAAGCTGCATTTTTATCGGTTTCATATCAAAATATAATCGTGTGATCCGAGTTCAAAGTTAATCCTGTGATAAATCGTTTTGAGAGGGTACAAATAGCCTTTAATCCGTCATCGGGACAAATTGGATACGCTGCGGCACCTCGCCTTATAGAAAATTCATCGTTCCAAACATGTGCCTACCGTTACCAATGTTACACCGACTTAACCGTGGGAGACATGTCAAACGTAGATTCTATTTATAAATTGTTACAGATAGTCATTTGTCATAATAGAATATAATATTTTCCTTAACGTAAAAACCGCGTCACATAACGGAATAAAAATCTAAATTCGTCGCCTTGAGAGCATTGACCTACTAATAAATGGAAGTCGGGTTCGTGCTAAAAACTGTCCGCACCTGTAGGCGTTAAAATCGCATACAGAGCGTCAATCGCGCAATAGTCTTCGTTTGTTCGAGTGATAGCGCGGTTGTCAATCATGCAGTACCAACAATAATAACTTGTAAAAATTACTGCAGTAAAGTGTGAAAACAGGATTTTGTATCATATTTTCACTAAACAAATATATTGTGTTATCATAGTTGTCATTTAAAAGTGTTATTTTTTACAGTTTTATAGTATTTAATTGAATCGTAAATATAAATTACAAAAGCATACGAAATAATGAAATAGCTAACTGTCTTTTTTCTACTCATTGTAAGCGCAAAAGATGGAAAAAGACCCATTACGTCAGTTTCAAGAAGCTTATATAAACTTCTTGGTCATTTTCAATTGTTTCAACCACAAGCTATTGAAATATTTAGAACAAAGAAACTGTAGAGTTGCTTTGATTTTAATTCTATTTTTTAAATGATTTTTTTAATAAACGTTAGCAATAAATAAAAAAATATTGTTGTACTCGTTTTACGGCATGGGATTATGTATCAGAAGTCAGAAATTACATTTGCCCGAAATAACATTAGCTCGAATTTTCATAATGTGTTTTTACGAAGATTACAAAATTTTGTCTATTTAAAAAACATCAAAATTACTCGAAAGCGTGATGGTTTTGTTATAAATCGGAATTACGGATATTTGAGTTTACGTTTAGTTAGAATATCGGTACATTTCTTTTAGTCACGCTTATTTTCACATTTGTAGTAATAATTGTATGTATGTATCTGCCCAACTCTTTATTATACCTTTAAGTGAATTTGTACAACATTCGACATAATAATATATATAAAAAAATTAATTAATATTTACGAGAAAGGCTATTCCATTACTCTTGTGTTCAAGTAATTTTCAGTCGAAGCTAAATATGGTGCATTTTGTTAAGTTTCCAGTAGAAGCTGAATGCGGTGTTTTTGGGCGCTTAAATTGTTGTAAGCAAAATTAGGCAGTACTGCAATGACGTTACGATTAAATTTTAATAATTTAAAAAAAATTAAATTAAATGTTTTAGTTTTTTATATTTCGTTACATGTTACTATGTTTGTATAGGTTAACCTAGGACATTTTTTTCGTGGTTTTTGTATTAGACCCGATGTCCATTTGTTGGTTGGTCAATGCTTGAGAGTTAAAATCTCGTATACGCGTTTTCACATGGTTCATTTTTACTGATTTTTGTTGAAGAAAAAATTATAAACTACTTGCTCAAATATATTGTTAAAGTAATATAGTATCTGAAAGAGATATAATATAACTAATTAAAATGCTAAGCACAAAAATTATTGCGTTTACTACATTTTACACCACATTTTTTATATAATAGAGTAATAATAATAAATAATAGAGATAATAATTAAGTACATTACATAGAAATCACATACGAGGTATTTAACGATTTGTACGTCTGATTTGATTTACTTACACAAACTAATAATTTTTAATTTTTGCCGTTAAAAGCATTGGTTGATATGCCAGTTTATTGTTCGTTATTTAAATGTATTACACCGACTAAATGTCATGTTAATACATATTCTGCGTATATTCGAACTGAAGTAAATTAGTCTAATCTTTTTGTGACGGAGTTCCGTCAAGGGAATATCACTATACCTACTTCTGCCGCCAAGCAGTAATGTAAGGATTACTGCGTTTGTTTTAAAGGAAAAGAGTACTGCTAAAATTGTCAATTTGCGATTGCGAAGTTCTCACACTTGTTCGTTTCGCCACTTGATATTATTAAAAAAATATTTATAGGGCTCTTTGTGAAAGAGTTTATCCATGGAATTACTATCACAACCACCAAGCAGTAATGTCAGCATTACAGCGTTCCGGTTTTGGAGGGTAACGGTGCTAGTGAAATTACAAGCACATGGGACTTGTCTACTTATGTCTGCGGTGAACTGCTGTGGCAGTGCTTCTCAGATCTTGCGATTGCGAAGTTCTGAAGTTGACATCATTAAAAAAAATCAAATTCAATGACATTGCGAAGACAATATTGAGAAACTAGGGTCATAATTTGTTAGTTACCCGGTAAATCATTTACAGACAAAATAAAGGGCTCTGAAAGCCGAAAATGTACATCCAAAAAAGTCTAACTTTATGTATTTTTTTTTATCTCTAAAAACTAGAGTTAGGCTTCGTGAAAATCAATAAATTCCTTATATTAAAAAGCTATATCTACACATCTAACATGTTATGTAAATGAACAGCAAACTACGATACGCCCAACAGGTCCGCCGCGCCGCGTGGCCCGGGACACTCCTCTTAATGTGTTTTGATGTATTTTGATCTGGGTGTTCTGCGTAGTGTCACCGGAGTTAATTTCATTATCGTGGTACTTTGTGGTATTTATAATACCGGGAACTCCCTTGTTTGGAATCAGGTGAGTCGTGTGATTGTTTGTTACATTCTATTTTCATTTATATTCTGTGTCAGACACGGTCTGGTAATACAATATTCTTGCTTTCTAAAATTGCGTACTGAAATTTGAAAATTAATTGTCAGTTTAGCATTGTAAATACAGTTACAATACAGTACTTGATGTATTGAATTACACTTATTTAATAACATGAAGTTTTTACTACAATAATATTGTTGTAATTATTAAAACCTGCGTCTGTTGCCTCACCGTGGCTACCGCTGTTACCAACTGGCTTTCGGTACACACCCTTACAGTACAGTGTATTAATTAAATTAACAGTTTTTTAAATCAATGCCCAGATATCGTACTTGATCGTATTTTTACGACAAATACAGTAGCGTCGGTACTTTGTTTCACGCGCATCCTAATTGAGCCACTTTATCAAGTTTACGAATTTGGTGTCTTCGCAGGAACTTTTTCAATAAAATTGTACAAACAGGCTTTGGTAAAAAAAATGTATTTCTTTGTTTGTATAATATTTGTTTTTGGAATGTTTTGGAACAATGACTCAGTTACAGCAACGAGCGATTCAGATTTTTTGTTATGTTAAGGTTTGTGCAATAAACCTTAACATACATACTATGATAATTAATTATTTTCGTGAAATTACTCCACTAGTTTTTCATTATTTTTAATACAAAGGTTAAACACGAAAAAAAAAAAATCCTTCGATCCGGCTGGACCAGCGACCTGGCCAAACCGTGGCTGACATGAATTTATCTATGTGTTCGATCTTTGTACTAATAATTGATCGATTTTCGTCAGTCGTTGTCAGTACGCCACCACAGTTTGTTTTTCTTTATATACGTATTGTTTCAATATCTTTAATTAATCTTATCTTTTCAAACTGAACATTGTTTCCCTTACTCGTTAACAGAAACAATAGATTGTTACACAAATATAAAGGATAAATATACGTAGATATATAACATGGAGAAGGGCCCATATAGGGCTTTTTCGGTTTGAACTTTGGACCTTATAGTTACTTTAATTTGTAAATTATAAGTGTATAGGGATTAGGTAGAGCCGCTACCAATCGCAGTAGAGCTCCTCCAGCTCATGAAAGATTTCCTCCGGGGTACTGTACTGCCACCTTACCTATTTCTGCTGCCAAGCAATAATGTCATCATTACCGTGTTCCGGTTTTGAAGGGTAAAAGTGCTGGTGAAATTACAGGCCCATGGTACTTGTCTATTTATGTCTTAGAGTGACGGCCGGAGTGGCAGTACCCTTCAGATCTTTGTCATTTAATGCTCTGAGTGGCATGTAACTGTTATGGACAGGCGTGTAGCTTACCATCAGGCGCATGACTTGTTCGTTCCGTCACTTAATATTATAAAAAAAAAGAAGTACCATAGTTTACTCTTTGTAAATTTTGTTCTTAGAAAGAGTGGTCCTTAAGTTACAACATAATGGATAATTTAGCGTAACACTTTGAAGATATTATATTATTATGTACATTTAAAATTTGTGATAAAATATGACATCACCTTTCTGCTGACTGCAGAGTGTTGTCGGCATGTGGAGAGACGGTCAACGCGCTCGATCCGTCCGCGCACGCCGCCACATCATGCCGCCCAGATTATCTGCAACAAAACAACAGATTACGTTTGTACCGATATTTTTCCTCCATTTTAACCGGTAGTATTAGTGAAGTGAAATGATGTTGCTAATGTCTATCATGAAAGAAAACTTGAAATATCTACTCGCAGCAATCCAGCTACAGCGCTTTTTCGTCCTAAAGTCATATTCTAACTTTCATTTGAGTAGCAGTAGAGCTCCTTGTGAAAGTGTTCGTACAGGGAAGTAGGTACTGCCACCTTACCTATTTCTGCCACCAAGCAGTAATGTGACCATTACTACGTTCTGGTTTTGAACGGTAAGGGTGCTGGTGAAATTACAGGCACATGGGACTTGTCAACTTATGTCTCAGGGTGACATTCGCGGTGGCAGTGCCCCTCAGATCTTTGTGATTTAAAGCTCTGAGTGGTACTGCAACTGTTATGTACAGGCGTGTCGCTTTCCACCAGGTGCGTGACTTGTTCTTCCCGTCACTTGGTATCATAAAAAAGAATAATTCTGCAAAATATACTTTCATAACTGGTGAAGCAGTATTTGACACTTATTATTGGTGATATATAGGTTGGCCTTTCTCAACGATTCTCTTATTCTTAGTCTTCTTAGTCTTATCTTAACTTTTCAATTTTATTTGCTAATAACATAGAAGTAAACTGAATTATTGTTCCGTTTGAATCGCGTGACTGCTGAACTCTCTTGAGAAATATGGTTCAAATATTTCACAAACTGCCCTAAAAATAACTCTTACCAAAATTTTGTACTATGTAATTCATAGCTCCGGACTCTACGAAATAAATGCGTACCATAGAGTGACGGTACCAATTCAGCCTTGCGGTCCATAATAGCGATCAAAATGCGACGAGTTATCATAGAAATTAAATTTTGGGTATCTATTTAATTCGCCTGGGATACTGATGCTAATGTTCTTCATATTCATTTATTCTTAATGGTGTCCTTTAACTTCTGGAGTGCCACAGGGTGGTGTACTTTCACCTCTTCTCTTCTTGCTGTTCGTAAAAGAGCTCACTAAATTAATTTCTTCTCCATTTCAGATTTGCTATATTCAGATGCAGATGTGTTATATGCAGAGGACTTGCAAATTTATAGACATTTTGATGTAGGCAGTACCCATTCTGCCATTAAAGCTATAAGGATCTTCTTGTGGCGACGCCTTGGGCTGATGAGTTTGGTTGCTTGTAAGCCCGACGAAATCACAGGCAATAATCGTAGGTAGCAATAGACTGTACTGCAGATTAGACTTTAATAATCTTCTCAAGGTTTCGTATGATGGAGTAAGTCTTCAATATGCTGACAATATAAAGTACCTGGGCCTGATAATCGACCATACACTGTCCTGGGGACCACAGGTAAATGAGGTTAGTCGACGCATGCACTTTACCTATCATTTTCTCAAGTGACTTCAATTCTTCTTGCCGTTCAATACCAGGGTTATGCTTGCCCTGTCTTTACTACTCCCACTTCTCGACTATGCAAATAGCTATTTGGATGCTACTGAGGAGCTGCTTAACAACTGGAAGGGCTATCTAAAATCTGGCAATCCGTTTCATATTCGGTTTAGGTAAATATGACCATGTCTCTGAATTTCGGACTAAGTTGAAATGGCTCCACATCCGACTTCGCCGAGATTTTAATTTTATTGTACAATAATTAGTCCGCAGACTTCAATTTTACACAACCGCCACGGAAGAGATTTCTTCTAGAGATAAGCTCACCTTTGTATAATGACCTTTGTAACGTGTTATGTGTCTTTTCCTTGTGCAATAAAGAATTATAATTATATAAATATGCAAATGGTTACATAAAAACTAATCACCTCAATGAAGACCACCCTTCATTCAACCATATCATAACGTGATGTGTGACGAAATGGAAAAATGTGTTCTAGCTAAGGTCGTGTTTTTTATTTGGATCATAATTTGTTTTAACAGTTTAAATGTCGACGCGCGGGCTCTTCTTTAACAGCGAACCCTCTTTTCATCCGCTCTCTCTCGGTTTAATTAAGTCAACAAATGCTTTCCAGTATTAACACAATGCCCTCATTGCGAATGCTACTGTTTTTTTCTTTTATACATATTTTTTTATAAACACCTTCCATGTTGCCATAAAATAAATAAACATATTGGGGTTTAGCTGCCTGGTGGAAAGCTTTTTTACTTATACAATTTTGTTGAATATTTTGCGTTCCAATCAAAGATCAATCAATTTCTCTATAAAATTAAACAGCTATATGTAATTTGAATAGCAGAAATGTTTCAGATCTGTTTCTCGGAATTACGTACGTATTTAGCTAAAACCGTTTTTTCGAACGTAATATCCTTACCTGAGACAGTATGAATAATCATTGTAAAATGGTGTGATGTGAACGTAATTTAATAATTTCATGTTATGTAAAAATGAAATACGATTATGAAGGAAATTATAATCTATTTAACTAGATACCTAATATAAATTTCTGAGTTCGTTGCATACTTATATTTGATAATATTGTTGTTGTCTCTGTCGGCCTAGATGCGAGCGTACGTTGGTGCGTAGGTGAGACAGCACTCATTTGGAAATAATGCGCTTTTTAAACTGTGTTTTTAACTGTGTGAATTTGAAATTTATTATATTGACGGAAAACATAAATATTAGTTTTTGGATAGTGCTTACAAAATGTCCTTTAGTTTTATCCAGAATAGGATTTATAGGTTATTTTGTATGGTGCAGCACTAGATAAATTCCTCTTAAATAAATCACCACGATTACATTTTGTATGAATAGTAGATATTCCAAACAACCCATTCAAAATCGTAATTAAATAAATACACGGCTACACGGCGGACTGTAATTGCAACGTGAAGCGGCTAATTTAGTTGGTATTGTTGCAAATTGAGGCAATTGAGTCTATTGAGACCTCGCAGCCGAACAAACTTATGACAGTCGGCTGTACTATAGCACTGAACTTAGTCGAATATAACTCGGCTATACTTCTGTTTGCTGCCGAATGAGTATGTAAATAAAGGTCCTTCCAGCACATATCACACTCAGAGTGAGGTTTAGTTAAAAAGATAAAGAATACATTACATACAAAATTGCTGCAATTGTGATAACACCAAATTGTAGGTACGTCATCACAAATCGAGTCGAGACTTCAAAACATTATATTATACTAATAATATATACAATAAAAAAAAGAACACTTTCAAAACAAATTATTTGTAGCTTTTGTAAAAACATTCAAAATCCCGTCTTCAATTGACGGGACTGAAGAGAAAAAGACTTTATTTTCAGTGTTTTCGATTTTAGCCGTCATTACTTTGGCGCTTGACATTAACCGGATAAACACTATTCATTATTCGTATTGTATTGAATGAGGACAGAATATACGTAATTATAAATAGGTTGGTAGGCTATTAAAGGGGATAATGTGTTGATGATACCAATAAGAAAATGTCAATGGAGAAATGTAAGTGGTCACTGGACTTGTTGGACACGCTGATTGGATTGATTTCGGGGTTCGTAGCATCTGAACCCGTTGTCTTTCGTACTGGTCTTTATCCGTGCCTCTACCACGAGTTTACTGTGACAGTTGTCGCTAGCGATCGTGTAGATTACTTCACAATTTTGTATTGCAAATTATACAGCGCCTCCAGCGGTCACATAAAGAAACAACATTTAGTATACAAACAGTTTACGTGGTCGCTAGCGATAAGTGTCACTCTGATTTCATGATAGAGGGACTGATGTCTGCGTCGATGCGAAGTAAGATAACATTTAAAAATGATATAATCTCAGTACAGAGTACTAAAAAAACCGTCCTCAAAAGTACGTGGAATTACATATAATTACCAAGTTTTATTGAAATCGGTTACCGGAAACTGCGCAAACCCGGATTCATCCCCTAGTTGGCCACTTACGGGACTTGACACAGGAGATAATAAAAATCGGTTCTCACTACTCAAAGTATATCCAGAGAGAAAAACGCCTTGAATTGGAGAATAGCAAAATCAACCATTAAATTAATTGCTCCTTATAATAAAATTTAGGCGCTATTTATAAAAATGAATCTTCATGCGTGAACAGCCACCCTTAGAGGTGGATGATTTTCTTCAAAATTAAATGGGACCACTGTGGAGGTACCCTCATTCCAACACAAAAAGAATCATCAAAATCGGTTCACAAATACAAGAGTATACATGAAACCGTAACATACATAAAAAACATACAGTCGAATTGAGAACCTCCTCCTTTTTTGAAGTCCGTTAAAAATTAGATCCACGTAGAAGCATAAACAAGAGACAGTCAACACCCTCTAAGTATCTACGAGAGGCGGCTAAAAAGTAAACTCTTTTGACTGTTTTCAATTCAAAAATAATACAGGCTACTATCGTGACGCACTCATTATTTATTCTTTTTTCAAAATTAGTGACACTCTTTTGTTTATTAAGTTTCGTATATAGCCACAAAATGTCTTGCATCGCCAAGTGACCATCCGACTGTCGCTAGGTGTGCACTGCGGAAACAGAAAATCCCTCTACCACCTGGTTTAATAATCCCTCAAGAGCAACTTCCAGGTTGCGTTCTAAGGGCCACCTTGTGGAAATCCTTGATTCGCCTACGCGCCAAGGACGAAAATTTTCGAAATATACGCCACAGATGGCGGAGTCAAGGTAGCATATTATTCAAAGTAAATATAGCTCTTTTTTAAAAATGCATCGTCACTATAAGAAGAAGAAGGAAACTAGACCGACCTCGAATGGGGCTGCTGTGCCCACATGGCCTATAAGTGATTTGCACGGTTCTCCAGGCGAGTACTTTGTGTACTAGACGTTACTAATATGATTAAACGAAGCCCATCGTAGTTAGAGCCTTTGCGCCCTACATAGCATTTAAACGAAAAACCGTAGCCGCCAATTGTTAGTCTGTTTGTAGAACCTATGAAGTTTACTTTACGATCAAGTTTATGTTTATTTGGGATGGGATTTGGACGAAATTTTTAAT